GATCCAGGAGTCCTGAGCAGCCCAGGAAGCTTTGCAGAATGGTGAACATGTTTCCATTGCTCCCCTGACACTCGCTGTTGGACACAACAGACATCTATCTCCAGCTTTGTTAAGGAATAAACTAAAGCTGAAGTCATTTGTTGGTGTTGAGCTCTGTTCACGGAGCCTTCTCTGCTGTCAGGACTCAGCATCACTTTGAAGAACTCAGCATCTCATTGGGGAGTTTGAACATGGAGAAACAGGTGAACAATTTCTGTTTGTTTTTCCCAGTGACTATCACAAGAAACAGGATGCCCTCAGAGCACTTCAGAAGAAAGCTCTGGACAAGAATCCCGATGAATTCTACTTTAAAATGATACGTGCAGGGCTCCAGGTAAGCAATTAAATTACCTTCAAGCAGAGTTACACTCTGTTGCTCCAAGTCACTTTCTTTTACACCTTGTTTTGTTTTTAATTTATTAATAAATCAGCAGGCTTGGTTTGGTGCCTGTGAAAGGCTTTGAAGAAAATGAGGGGCAATGGACACAAAGATTCTTTTGCATTTATTACTGGGACCCCCAGTACACTCAAGCTGGAGTAGTACCCGTCTGTAGTGCTATGTTCCCTCTGGTTTTAGGATGGAGTTCATGTAATAAAGCAGCCAAAGGATGAAGTGACCCCCGAGCAGGTGAAGTTGATGAGGACGCAGGATATTAAATATGTGGAAATGAAAAGGGTGGCAGAAGCCAAGGTAACACTTCACTTTTTTAGTGTTTTATGTTTTGCTCAGAACTGTTCTTTTTATCGTGTTTTTTGTTGTTGTTGACTGCTGTGTTTATGTTTGCTGAAATCTGATTTGTGTAATATTGGAAACTGTAGATGGAAATGTCAGTGGAGCTCCATATATAGAACCTGAAGGTGTACTCAACAGTAAAACTATACACGCGTTATTGGAAAACACGGCGATTTCTTATGTAAATTGCAGACAGTGGACACTTACTCTTGCTTCTCATTTATCAAGAGTCAAGAATTGCTGGAGTGGGTCGTTTGAGTATGACAGGCAGGCAATCCACAGAAATAAGACCCACTCCTGAAAACGTTTTGTGCTCTGGTGTTGATCCACGCACCATCACTGCAGATAAAAAAATTTTTAAAAGTCAGCTTTACATTTTCCTTCACACTTTTGCTAGTGGTTTCATGGTAATCATTCCTACTTTGTCTGCCATGCAGAAAACTTACCATTTTGAAAATCAACTTGTACGTATTTGGCTGGGTAATAGGGGAATTACTGTTAACCTCTACTCAAAAAGGTTGTGAAGACTTGACATAAATATAGACTAGATGTATTTTCAAATTAAAAAGGAAGGAAGAGTTCAGATGCTTGAGAAACAAGTGGAATTTACTTCAGGGAGGCATTATTTACCTTGTTACGGATGTTTGGCAAAACAGAATGACTTTTCTTTGCAGAAAATCGAGCAGCTGAAGTCGGAGCTCCATCTGCTGGGAGCTGAGGTGAAGAAGCCCAACAAGCACGTGTTCTTTTTTGATACCAAAAAAGAAGGTAGGATTTATAGGTAGGAATGATAATTCAGGTGCTCTAGAAGTCTCTTTTGGTTCCCAGATAAAACCTCGGTTCTGCAGCAGCGATGTTGCTGGGGCTTCCATCGCTGACTGTACTTAAGCTACATCTTTGGAAGGTTTGCTGAGCATCAGTCCAAGAAGTCCATGTGCTTTATCTATTTACAAGTAAATATTTATCTATAAGGGTAGTTTATGCCTACATTTCTTTTTATTTATAGTCCAGAATTTTGATATTGCAACTCATCTGGATACTGTGCCAGAGCTCGTGGACAGAGTGTACAACCGACCGACCATCGCAACGTTGCAGGAAGAGGCGCTGAAAGGAGCTACTGAACCTGCCCACTTAAAGGTACTGCTGCTGTCTGCCCAGAAAACCCTCCCCAAAAACCCTTGCGCTCCTGAACAGGGATATGAAGATGCTTATTCCAATGCAGCTGTTTCTGTCATTGGGTTTCTGCACTTACAGTATTTTTCAGTTAAGGTCTGAGCCTGAAGTAGCTTGAGATTCAGGATTTGTCTCCTCCCTTTTCTTCCTAAAGACGTTTAGTCTCACTTTCCAAATTTAAGAAGTGTTTCATGATTCCTCAGGATGAGTTGCTGATGCAATCAACCACAATTCTGGTGTCTCAATATCACAGCACCGCTGTCCTAGAAGTAGCTACAGTTGGCTGTAACACTGTAAATACCACTTAATTAGTTTAGATACATTGAGCAGTCCTGTCAGCTCGAGTTGGCATGTGTAAGGTAAAAATACAGTTGTCTAAACTTGCCGATTAGTAAATTTGTAACCTGTTTTTTTCTGAATCAGATGACAGATAACAAACACCCTGTGGTCCCTTTCTTCTTGCCAGCTTTCTCAGTTTGGCTTGTCAGTAAAGCAGTTGGACAAGTTGTAGACTGACAAGTTCTCTCCTCTAAATATCTGAGTCATATTTTAAGCATGTTGGGATCTGTTCCCCTTAATTTAATTACTTAAATCACACCTGCAGTAATACCATTTCTGTGTTGGGAAAGCCATCCGCTCTTAGGAGGTAAACGTGTCCAAACAAGTTGCATTTTGAGAGGCCTCTGCAAATTCTGAGCACTTCAGGAATTGGTCTCTGGTCCTTTCCCCCCACCCCCTTCCCCTCCTCTGGATAAACTGGGTTTTCATTCAGGAGTTAAGTGTTCTCTTGCACTCAACACTGAAAATCAGAGGATTTAGAAAATGAAAATCCAGCCACTTGCTGAACAAGGTTACACGGCATCTAAACTAGGTTAGGAGAGGTTTGGTTTTTTGTGTTTAGGAGATTAAAACAAGAACAAAGCAATAGTACTAACTAGAAAACCTCCAGTATGAGAATCAAGATGTTAAAATGGTTCTCTGCAGTGCAGCCACAGAATTGAAGCAGCGTTTTTTAATATGATTATGATTTAAAGATGTAAAAAATGATTGTGAAGTCCAAGTGCCTCAGCATAGGTCAGTTACAGATCGTAGTGCCTTGTTCCTCTCTGTCTTAACACAGCTTCTTTTTTCTCTCCAGAAATTAGCCCGGCAACGGAAGAATCAGTACAACCTCCTGAAGCAGCGCATTGAGAGAGAAAAGGCCATGTTTGTTATTGCACAGAAAATCCAGACACGTAAAGATCTTTTGGTGAGAGATTCAGTTCTGATTCTTTGAATCAGTTTTGTTAAGGTCATTAGGTCTGGTTTTGTATGTGTGTTTTTCTTCCCTCTCATTTTATACTGACACTTCCAGATAGCTCTGAAAATTAAGTGATCCTTGTTTTAGTACAAGAATATCTTAAAAAATCCCCATGACAAAAACAATTTTGTCTCAGTTTGACTCTCCGTTCACTGGTGCTTGTGAACCCAGCGGGTTGTGCCCAACAACCTACAGGCAGAAGGGAGCAGAAATACAGAACAGTGGAAGTGACCATTTTTCACTAATTCCTTGTCAGTCCCAGACTGGGACTTTCTTACCTATGAGGGTGGGCTGGTCTGGGTTTTTCTTCTTCTTACATGCCAGCAAATAGGGTTTTTTTCTCCTTGTTCTCTTTCCCAGGACAAAACTCATAAAGTAAAGGTGAAGAAAGAGACAACAGATGGTCCAGCTATTTACAAATTCAAGTTTCAGCGGAAACGTTAGCCACTCCATTGAATAATCGTTACCATCTTTGCTTAGAAAGAAAGAAAGAGGATTCTCCGTACGAAGCAGGACTGATAACACCACATCAGATTGTTTTTCACTGCAGCCTAGTGCTTTGTTAAAACAAATTACCATGGGCCTGCGGTAGCCATAAATATATTGTATCTAATTAATTGATTAATAAATCAGAGTTTGTTCTCTTGGTATTTACAGTGGGAAGCCACAAGAGGTGCCTGAATGTCCTAGTGATGCACACCATAAACATCCTGGAGAAGCCAGGGTCAGAGTCTGGAGGTGGTTGTGCGCACACGGGGACAGCGGAGGTCGCTGGGGTGGTCACATCCCGCTCAGTGGTCGGTGACCGCAACATGTCCAGAACTGTAGGAGATTTCAGGCCAGCTCTCTTTTTTTAGCTATCTTTTCAAGCAGGTTAAAGTCATTATCTTTCTAATCACTCCCACCCTACCCTCAAATCCTTCTAATCTTCCCGTTTTGCTTTATCTGCACAAAGTATTTCACTTCAAAACAGGAGGTGAGAGGCATTGCTGAGGGCGCATTGCTAAATTCAGGCACTGTTAGCCAGAGGCTCCTGGAATGTTGCTAGCAGTGAAGAATTGCTTCTTCCACAGCACAGAAAGGAAGAAAACCCTCGACCTTTATGTGCAGTTTCCACAGCTGGGGAGCTGTTTGTGCTTACTCTGTCTTCTGTGCAATGGGATAGTGCCCGTGCCGTGCCAGATTTCCAGTTCGAGCAGAGGCGGTGCTGAGATCACGGCAGCGCAGGCACCGCTGTGGAACAGAGTTTGTCCTGTTTGTGTTATCCTTGCTGCAAGGTTGGTGTTGGACGGGGGCTTCAGCGGAGAACAACGCAGACGCGTCCTGAGTGTCCCGGAGCCGCTCGGACAAGTTAGGAGAGCCTGGGCGTAAACATTCCTTTGCTTATCTCTCTCCCGTGTGCTATGGCTGCCAGTTCGCAGCACATGCCCATGCAAGATGGTAAAGAAAAAAAAACCATGATGCTCCTCAGTCTCTTCCCACTCTGGGAGTTTTCCTGGCCTCTCTTGGATGAAATGCCACTTTTTAACGTGCTCAAATGCAGCTTCAGACGCTGTTTCTGCCACTGCAAAAATTCACAAGTTGAAAACAACTCTGGGGTGAATTTTTGGAGAGAAGGATTGCGGGAGCTCTGCTTTGCTCTTGAGGGCCGTTCAGGTGGAGTTCTGCGGTGTCACCGTTAACAGCACGGTGTAAACCACCCGGCACCGGATCATCGGGAGGGAAAGCAACGCGGCGTGGGAGAAAACCTCTCCTTTTCCTTCCGCGCAGGGAAACGACCGAAAGCCTCAGCGCGTTTTCCCGTTAAGTTCCTTCCCCGGGCAAGAGGCGGCTGCGAGGGCCCCCCCGGGGCTGCGGGAGGCGGCGGACCCGGCCGGCAGGGGGCAGCAGCG